TATTTAGCTGGTTTTGTTGGCTTGCTGATATTTTGATATTGATGTGTCTTCTCAAAAATGTATGGCTTTTTCACTTCCCCTACTTTTATTTCTTTGCTTTTTAAATATTATTAACTCTCAAACAAAAGGGTGAAAAGATTTGTAGACCACAAAGAACATTGTAAGCCCATGTGTCGGCATACACTGTTATTTGATCCATTTTGATGATGCACATAAATTGATCTTTTTCAGTGCACATTGACAAACACATTGAGCGAGTCCTTTATTACTTGTTATCTATTCAATATGGGACAACAAGGCATATGTATGTGTGTTTGTTTCTGTATTTAGTGCACTTACTATACCATGAAATAGGCTTGAAATAGGAGTGTTGTTGGAGCTTTCTAGTTACCCTGACTGTGTGTGGTGTGACTTTTGTACCTGGGAAAACAGCAGGCTCAAGTGTCTTCCCTTTGTCAGCAATGTTATTTCAAAACCAAGGTTAATCCCTAGACATCCCATTAGAAAGCCTGAGAATTTTACCCTTTTATTTTGACCACTCTGGTGTGTTTCTATACAATACAACCTTCTTCAAAAGCAGGAAAAGGCATCTGCGCTTGTTGTCAGGGCCATTGTGACAAAACTGTTGAGAGTTTTAAGAGATGTTGTAGCTTATAAATGGTTATGATATAAAGGTAACAAGTGAAATGAGACTAATGATGTATTAAAGATTTCCATATCTGAAATTGAGCTGTATAGATCCTAACATAGGAGGCATCAACACCTCCTTTGAGTCTGAACATTTTTCTCCCAAACTTGTTGTATTACCTGTGCATTAATATCCCTCGACTGATTAATAAAGGTTTGTTGACTAAATTGTGTGTAAACTGTGTCAACTTGTATTTAAATTGAGCTGTCAACATTTAACTAGTTGTTTTAGTTTACCTTAATTTCTCACAGTGATAATTTTGAGAAATCAACCACTTAAGGGCAACCTAAAGTGCCATGAATAAACCTGCCTTTTTATTTGGTACAGTACATGAAAAAAACCTAAAATAATGTAATTAGCTGTAGCTAACTAGTTTGCGGTTATAGATAAGTCATGCAGAGCAAGGTAGGTTAAGTAGCAGACATGATTGCCAAGAACGCATCAGTAACAGTTGGACTATCATCAATATTGGAAAAAATGTAATGTTTTTTTTAATACTAATGCTATGTAAGATATGACTTTATTGTGTATTTTTAGATATCTTTCTTTATCAAACAGGAATGTATTCTCGCCTTAGGTGTCATGAACACCCTGTATAAGACCAATGTGCTAAAAGGAAAATTAAATTACACATAATTTAATAATAAAGATCATAGTCAGGCCAACAGGTGTTTAAAGGTTTGAGTTATTTCACAATTTCATAAAAGTGTGAAGTCATAGAAATATATTTTTTATGTTTATGATAATAATTTATGATAAGCAGCACTGAATCACACAAAAGTGAATACAATATGCCCATGTATTTTGTAAAATAGAGCACAATGATAACAGTCTGTATCAGGCGCGTCGCCTGGCAAGCCCCGGATGTTTTTTCTTTAGCCCCGGACAATTCTCCCTCAATAGTATAATACATTAACCGTGCTTTACCGGAACCTCATCATGACACTAGAGAGGACGGCAGGAAAGTAATTTCCCGTGTTCAGTGAATGCAACATCCTGTGACAATGTTTAAACTGTCAGTCGGACTCGGAGTTTTTGAAGATGGACATAAGAAAAAAAATTCTTAAAAAAGACGACAATTCTCAAGTGGTGGCTCACACAACAACCCCAGAGCCACCACTTGAGCCAGGTAAACAAGGTATGTAAATGTCAGTAAACTTCCAAGTTATGCGAACATGTAAGCAAAGCATAAATTACAGCTACGTTGTTGACGTTACTTTGAATCGAAAAAGCTAAACCGTTAGCAAGTATCTATAGCTAGCCAGAGATATTAAATTAACACTTTGTCATACAATATAAGTGTTATATTTTTTAGCGTTACCTGGTGATTTCAAAAAAATCCTCTCCAAATGTTGACGTGCTGTCAGTGTTCGACATGAAGCTAGAAGCTTATGGAGCTATTTCAGGGTCATAAGTTTTGATCATTCAAAAAAATACAATTTATTTGAAAGTTCAAGTTTTTATCCTGAACTCTGAAAAATACAATGATGTATTCAAAATGAAAATAAGTATTTGAAATCATTTTTCAGGTTGAATATTATTTTGATTCAGTTCAGCAATTTTTTTAAATAAAATATTTATTTTCAGATTTCACTTTTATACATATTTTGATATTTTAATCCTTATTTTTTTCAGTTACATTTTTTATCGTTTTCAGATTCAAAACAATTATTTTGTCGGTTTCAAATCTTGTTTTTTCAGGTTTCACATTGCTTTTTACCTTCAGATCGTTTTTCGCTTTCAGATCTTTTTTTTTCGCTTTCAAACTTTTGACCCTTATGTTGCTTGGGGGGGCGGGGCTTAGCAAAGAGTAGTTTGGCATCCTGAGTGACAGGCCTCCCTCTGTCATGTTGCCTTCATTAGGAGCCTTGCCTTTGTTAGGTAGCGCGAGAAATATAACTCAATACTTTCTATACACGATACTCCCGTGATAGGTGGAAAATAAAACTGATACCAGCGTCAAAGTTCCGTTAAGCGAGCTGTTGAGCATCGTAGTTAGCAACAATCAAGGTATAAGCGCAATAAACTGTGCTAGAATGTGAAATTACGTATCCGCAACGAGCCAGCAGGTTGTTCTGGTGGACCTGACGCCATCCCCCGCTGTCTCACGGAGAGATACCGCAGGTCCTTCCTTCCTGCAGCGGTCAGACTATACAACGAGCACAGCCTCTAGACCCCGCACAAAACAACTCAGACTATAACACCTCTTGTTGATAAATACCAACTATGTGCAATATTTGCAATATGTGCAATATATATATGCCGTTAAAAACTGTGCTGCTAAATCCGCAGAACTGTTACAGGGTGTGTATTATGTAAAATGTGTAACTTTAAAATATATAGTTTATTTTTGCATGCATGCTTTAGGTAGCATTAAACTATATTTTGCTCTTCTCTGCTGTAACAATGTAAATGTATCCCCTCTGGGATTAATAAAGGTAATCTGATTCTGATCGCAAAAACCAAGCCAATACTATGCTGCGTTCATGGAGCTACGTGGAAGTGGGGAAGGACAATGCTTGATTGCGGATACGTAATTTCACATTCTAGCAGTTTATTGCTCTTATACCTTGATTGTTGCCAATTACGATGCTCAACAGCTTGCTTAAAGGAACTTTCACGCTGGTATCAGTTTACCACCAATCACGGGATTATTGTGTATAGAAAGTATTGAGTTATATTTCTCGCGCTACCTAACATCCTTGAAGGCAACATGACAGAGGGAGACCTGCCACTCAGGATGCCAAACTACTCTTTGCTAAGCCCCGCCCCCCACGCAACATCAGGGCCAAAAGTCTGAAAGCGAAAAAAAAGGTCTGAAAGTGAAAAACGATCTGAAGGTGAAAAGCAATGTGAAACCTGAAAAAACAAGATTTGAAACTGAAAAAATAATTGTTTTGAATCTGAAAACAAAAAATCTGCAACTGAAAAAAAATAAAGATTCAAATATCAAAAATATGTAGGGCCTATAAAAGTGAAATCTGAAAATAAATATTTTATTCAAAAAAAATTGCTGAACTGAATCAAAATAATATTCAACCTGAAAAATGATTTCAAATACTTATTTTTATTTTGAATACATCATAGTATTTTTCAAAGTTGAGGATAAAAACTTGAACTTTCAAATAAATTGCATTTTTTTGAATGATCAAAACTTATGACCCTGAAATAGCTCCATCGAAGCTACCTTACATTACACAGTCACAGGGGAGTGATTTGTAAAATATCCATATAGAAAAAGAAAATCTGTTTACAGTTCTGTTTCATATGGGTGTTGAAAGATGTATCCATATCTCTTAATTTTGCTCTCAAAGTGCACCAGATTGATGCTTTTAACTTCAATATTTAAAAACAAATCTTCCCGGGGGAGCTTGCCCTCGGACCCCCCCCAGAGGAGGTGAGGACCCCCCCAGAAGAGGTCCAACCCTCCACTTGTAAAAAAAATAGCACTTTAAACCCTGCTTACACCTATATGCTGTGAAGCTGATCATCGAGCCTTC